TTCCATTTTTGCTGGCATGAATGGCAGCAGAGGCCTCATCCCACTTGAGGTTTGAGAAGTGAGTAGCATGAAGAAGCAGGCAGTGCCTGGAGCTTTCATTTTTGCTGGCATGGATGGCAGCAGAGGCCTCATCCTTCAGAGGTGATGGTGAGATCTGGTTCCTGACTCAGGAGTGGCTGCAGCAAAGTCAATCTCCTGATATCTAGCGCTCAGTAGCAGCAACAATAGTGATAGCAGTTCTCCTCCTTTGAGCTGGTCCTATAGCACAGTTTAGGGCATCATTCCTGGCAACTTTAACTCATATCTATTTCCTAGCCCTGGACATGATTGTTTGTCCTTCAGTTTCCTTTAATAAATCCCATCTGCCTCAACCATCAGATTGTCAACAACCAAGCACTTGATGTGCTGGGTAAGCCAGGAAGACCTGACTCTGAATGTATTACTTCTATATGAGGCTACACTGGGAGCCATTTCGGCAACAGAGAGTGCTGGTCTAGACCTCATCCCTCATTTCCTTCTTGAGTCAGGAAGGAACAAAGAAGGAATGTGCTCTTCCCTTTCACTCCTATCATCCCAGGAGTGCTATAGAATAAGAATGCTCTTTCTCATTGAATTCTTATTACCAATAATTTGTGCAGGGCTTGGCACAGAGAAAGTATTCAGCAAATGTCTGATAAACGAAAATGAATGAATGAATGGTCAAGTACACTGCAAAGTTATACCCAGCTAGACCCCTAATCCAGATCTGTGCTGTCCCTCAGCAGAACCCACTAGCCACACATAGCTACTAAGCACCTGAGATGAACACTGACCCTAATGTCCAGATCTGTGCTATCCAATGGCACAATGAAAGCCACATACATAATTTTACATTTTATATAATGACATCAAATAATGAGAGAAGGTATTCAGCAAATGTTCTATGAATGAAAATGAAGGAATGAATGGTCAAATACACTGTAAAGTTATACTCAATTGTGGCTAGTGCAACTGAGTAACTGAACTTTTATTTTATTTCTGTGAACTTAAATTTTAAAACTTATACCAATTCCATGTTTGGAAAACTTTTAGCTTAACTTGTATATGTAAATGGTACTTTTCAGCTACAAATTTAAATACAGAACCTGGTCAACATAAGAAACTAGGACTGTTGGCTCAACGCCTGTGGCTTAAGTGGCTAAGGCGCCAGCCACATACACCTAAGGTGTCAGGTTTGAATCCAGCCCAGGCCCACCAAAAACAACAATGACAGCTGCAACCAAAAAATAGCCGGGTGTTGTGGTGGGCACCTGTGGTCCCAGCTACTTGGGAGGCTGAGGCAGGAGACTCGCTTGAGCCCAGGAGTTGGAGGTTGCTGTGAGCTGTGATGCCACAGCACTCTACCCAGGGGGACAGCTTGAGGCTCTGTCTCAAAAAAAAAAGAAAGAAACTAGGCTATTGTACACTGAGTACATGTGGTGCATGTCCAGTCTATGAAAATTAAGTCAACTTAAGGAGGTGTTCACATTCTTCTTAGTAAAGCATCACAAGAACGGAGAAGCAAGAATGTGACATACTTCTTGGGGATGAGACACAATTATAAGAGGGACTTAACCTAACAAATGCAAGCAGTGTAACCTGATTCTTTGTTCCCTCAATGAATTCCCAACAATAAAAAAAAAAAGGAGGTGTTCTATGTAGAGAAGTGGTAGACAATGGAGGTTCCACTGTATTTCCAATAAAAAGTTGTAACACAAATTAAGATATGCTGTAAGGTATACCAGATTCCAAATATTTAATATGAAAAAAAATGTAACATACACCATCTGCTTTATATTGATATGGAAACAATATTTTAGCTATATTAAGTTAAACGAAATACATTAAAATTGACTTCATCTGTTTCTTTATGTTTCTTTTTACATTATTTGATGTCATTATAGAAAATGTAAAATTATGTATGTGGCTTTCATTGTGCCATGGGATAGCACAGATCTGGACGTTAGGGTCAATGCTGTTCAGCCGTCAGAAGGGGTACCCAGAACAAGTGTTATTTCTGGGTACTGGAAGCTCTAACCCTGCAGACCTAGGCCCAACCTTATCCTCTCATTTCCCCCACCCTACCCCCAAAAGAAGGAAGCTTAGACTTGGGCCTCTACGACACACATAGGAACAATAATCACAAATTTGGTGTTTTTAGGCAGGTAACCTATCAGAGAAAGGGCTGAGTGTAAGGCCACATCAGTGACAAATTGTTCTATTTAAAAGCAATATACAAAGAAAAAATTCCCAAGTGAATGTTCCTTAGGTCACCAGCATGAGTCTGCACAGGTCTATGGAATCAAAAGAAGGCCCTTGGAAAGCCTCTGATATGGTCACTTTATTCCAAGGCTAAGGAAAATGAACCCAAAAAGATGAGAACTATTCTAATTACTGCAAGAGCCAGAGCAAAGCATTGTCTCCTGATGCCCAGTGGGACATGCCATGTCTCAGCATTAGGTGATAGTAAAAACATGCAACTTGGGTTTGATTTGAGATGAATCCAACTTACCAGAATTGTACAACCCATACCTACCCAAGGATTTCCAGGGTTCCCTTTTCCAGCACTGGGAACCCATTCTGAGAAATTGAGGTAGGGGCCAGAAAGCATTTCTTCCCATCATAAGAATCCCCATGGCTTCTATTACAAAAGATCTGTTCCAGGATAAAAAAAAAACACAAAGATGCCTTTGACTGGCTTGAAGAATGCAGAAGAGGCCATGAGAGACTGTGGAAAAGCAATGCCAGGAGTAATGGGGAGACAGATGCTCTTTGAGGTCCAATCCTGAGCCAAGTGAAGGGAAAAAAGGCCAAGGCACCAACCTGGAGTCACTGGCAGCCCCTGATGGGGTGGGGAGAACCCATGAACAGGGTGAGAGAGAACAGGTGGGGCTGGGGAAAGAGAAGGGACAGATGGGCCCACCTCCAAAGGTTTGCTTCCAACAGAAAAGGAAATGAACCTAGACAATCTTCATACTAGAAGCACAATCTACAAAATGCTTCCTTCCAACCTGTCACCATAGGTACAATTTTACCAAAAAAAACCATTCACACCCCCATCCAAATGTACCAATCCAAGCAAAATATAGTTAGTAACAAAGAAAGGCAATTTTTCTATTTTATGATTCATAGGCAGTCACAGAGAAAGCTTTAATATTTTTGAATTAAATACAGAAGCAAATTGTTAATGTTGCCAGAGAGTGTTTGCCCTTGAACAAATTAACACTTGTTTGCAAACAGAAGTATTGCCAGAATTGAGTCCACCCCTGTGTTTTCTTTTCAGGACCCAACCTACTCATCTCCTTTATACACAGTGCCTAACACATAGTAGGTGTTGCATAAATACCTGTTGACTGATGGGTGCTCTTTAATCCCTATCCTTTATTTCCTGACCCTAAACTGGATCTTGATCCATGGGGAGAATATCCCCAACCATCCATTGATAGGATAACCCAGCCTCTTAGCCTTTGAAACATAACACTGGTGACCCGAGGAATGACTGACAGTTTCCAAGACAGAAACAAACACACAAAGACAGGGCACAGTAATGAGGTAGAGCCAAAGATGCCAAGACAGAGAGTAACAGAATGAGACAGAGATTCAGAGAGGGAGCAACTGCCGGAGATAGGGACAGAAGAATGCAGTCAGAGAGACTTACAACTGACAAAGTTGGAGATAAAAAGATAAAAGCGTTGGGTGAGAATAGTCATCTTGAAGTTTCTTTTTAGCTTTAATGTTTCATGAGAGATAATGGCAGAAAGGGGGAAACACGGCATGAGCATAAAGAGATAAAGGAAAGTAATGGAGACCGAGGGGGCAGGCCAAGTAAGCCTCCCCATCTCCAGATTGGGCCTGGAACCTTCCTCCTGCCCTGGCCTCACCCCATAGCCTCCTTAATGCTTCTGGCCCTGCACTTCTCTCCTCCTCCCACCTCCACCTACCCCCACCCCCCTACCCCCACCTAGACATCTCTGCCACACTCTGCAAGTCCAATCTTGTTTCCTCAACACCCTCCACGCGGCATTCTCACCGCTCCAGAGGCACAGACAGTTCACAGGACACCTGTCCCCCACGCACAGGTGGGTGCTGTTGTGTAATAGTTTGCCCTCTGTTCACCAAGGGCATCTTGTTCCCCCCCAAGAGAGCCCCAGACCCCGCCCCCACAGACTCCGGTATTCCCCGGACGCCCGCCCAATGCTGGGTCTCACCGAGCGTTCAGCAAATACGTGTGAGCCGCCCAGTCCCGAAGCAGTGCCCACGCGGCAGCCTGACAGTCCACTGGTCAGCTTCCAGGAGGCCGCCGTGCCGCGGCCATCTCCTGGGCTCCCGCGCCCCCTGCCGGCCAGAAGGGGACCTGCGCGCGGGCAGAGGCAGCGGGCGCGGCGGGTGGGGGAGGCTGACGAGGGCTCTCTGACCTCACGGGCGGCCCTGGGCAGCGTCCGCCGGCTCAGAGGAGGGCGGCGGGCACGGCCGGGAGCAGCTGCTGTGCCCTTCTTAGGCATCGAGGCACACCCCTCTCGTGCTCCCTCTGTCCAGAGCACGCTCAGAGCTTCTCGTCCAGCTCCAGGCCCTGGCTGTCGCGGGCGACCCCGCGGACGGACTCTGGGCTGCCGGTCTGCGTCCCGCTCAGGTAGCTCTGGATGGCAGAGGCGCAGTCCAGCCGCTCCATGACCGTCATGAGGTAGTGCAACTCCTGCAGGCTGCCGTTTTGCTCCTCAAACAGCTCTAGGACGGCCGCCGCAGGGCTGCGCTGACAGGACAGGAACCTGGTTGGGAGGCAAGAAGGAGCAGGGAGCTGGGGTGAGCGTCCCCTGCCCTAGCCCGGCTGGGCTGCACTGCCAGGAGACACCCTCCAGTACCTCCATACACTGCAGCGCTCTTCATCCTCCAACTATTGCCTGCCTTGGAGGGGACTGAGGTGGTGCCAAGGCCCCGGGACATCGAAACCTAAGATTGTCCTGGCCTAGAGGCTGACTCGCTGGTCCTGTTTCTCTCTAAGCCTCAGTTTCCTCTTATTAAGCTGAGGGCTCGGGTGAGAGGTATCTAAGGTTGCTTCCAGCTCTGATGATCTATAACTGCCTTCTCCACCTCTCTCACCTCTTGCCTCACCCTATCCTCGTATCTTGCCTCCCTTCCTTCCTCTCTCCCCAACCACATCCTGCCCACCACCCCAAACCATGACTTTTTGTCATGACCTTCCCCTGCTCAGAAACCTTCCAGAATTCCCTTCACCTGCTAACAGAGCCCATGTTCTGACTTTCTGGCTCATTCACTTGGCCTTGCCCTGCCTTTCTGACCATTTTTCCCTCTCCCATCCTGAACCTCCTTTCCTCTGGCCTATGCCTTTCCTATCACACCCACAACCACTTCTGCTGCCCCCCTGCAAACAGAACAGCTGAACCCCTTCTTGAACTCTTCTAGTTCCCACCTCCCAGGTAGAAGAGACCATTTTGCACCCCTCAGTTTAGACTTCTGGTCATATCCCACAATTCATTATTACTCTCACTTCAGCTATTTTATGCCTCTTTTCAACATGTTATGCAACATTGGATACATACAGGAAGCATACAAAAGCACAGAAACATGTGCTTTTATTTTGGAGGTTCTCTGTACCCCTTACTAGAGCCTGTACTCCTGGAAGCACATCTCATTCATTTTGTAACTTAGTGCTTCCAGGACACAGTAGGTTAAATAAATGAATGATTTTAAAATCCACCCATTGTTCAGGATCCAGCTTTCACTCCATCTACTGAGTGAAGTCTTCCCTGATTGCTGCACTCGCAGTCTGGGTTCTGGGACTTAGTTCACAGTTGTTCTCTTACTGATTTCTTTATGGGTTCTTTGATAGGGAGCATGGCTGCATTGCCACTATCATTGCTAACACTTATTGAATTAATGTGTACCAGGTACCCAGCTCCATGCTTTACACACATTATCCTATAATCTGCCATCCTAGTCCTCAGGGCACAGCATGGCAAGCACTCAACATGTATTCTATCACTTGCATATTAATAGATTCACTGTTAAATATTTATTGAACATCTACTATGAGCCAAGCATAACACTAGTACTAAGATACAGAGATAAATAGAAAGAGCTGCCTTTTATTGGAAAGGGGGAGAGGAAAAGCCATTCTCCAACTTTTAAGTCATTTCCTTGCCTATGTCTCCAAATTGTCCTGAGGGCTCCCCACCCCAGTCCACCCTCCTCTCCCATCCATATACCTCATCCCTCTTCTTACCGGATTTTCATGCCACAGAGACCCAAGTGGGAGGCCAGTCTGCGCCAGTCATTGCCCGAGATGCTGTTTGGCTCCAACAACATCTGTAGCTGCTCAAAGAGTTCTGGGGGCAGCCTGAAGCAGGGAGAAAAGGACGTTCTTGGGTGAAAGGCTCAAAGAGACTCCATCTGGCTCTCCCTCCCCACCCCTCGTGCTATACTTGCCCTGTAGTGCTGGGGCAGGAATCCCAACATACCCCAGGCAGTAGCCCAAGCAATACCCCCCTCACCTATTACATGGGGGTGGCTGGGAGACAGGGGGTGGCACTGCCCAAGATTCCTCCTCTGATGCCTGAAATCTGAGGATTTCCATGTACTTGGTCTCCAAGCCCTGAGAGTAAACAGAGAACACGATTACTGGTCACACAATATCCCAGTGAGTCAGACACTGGGGTCCTACCTCCACTCCTGCTGTTTCTCCTTCAGCTTGTCTCCCAGAGCCACTTTATCATGACATACAGGCCCACTAACCCTGCACACTCTACCCTCTGCTTTCCCAACCTCAGAACCCCACTTTCAGCCTTAAGTTTGCCCACTGAGCTTTTCGGAAATTGGGGGGAGGGGGCTTGAAAACCAGAGTGTATCCTAAGCCACCTGAACAGTCCTGGGTGGGGTCATGGGGGCAGCAGGAGGTCATCCAATAATGGAGACACTGAACTCAGGCATATGTGGCCCCTTCCCTCCATTCCAACTTTTCCTGGTTCCTCCGCCTAAATTACAAACTGAGGGTGTCTGTCTGCCCTCCACAAAGATGCCACTGTGGTTCCCCAGGACTCAACCCCGACTTCTTCATTTCTCCCTTTGGTGCAGTGGGAGGAGGGGAAGGATGCCTGAGTCTCATCCCATCTGCTCGGTACCACCTCCCCAGTGAGTATACAATCCGGAGAGGGAAGGGGGGACAATCTATACCCGAGGGGTTTGTCAGTATAGACAATCTATACCTCTCGGGTATAGACAATCAGGCTAGAAAGAAACCATGTCTCCTTGATGCCCCAGTTCCTGTGAGTTGGGAGAAGGAGTTAAACTAGGGTTTGGCACTTTTAACCTCCTACTAGATTCATCCACTGATAGACAAGAGGGATTTAGGGATGGAGGGTAAATTAGAGGCCAGGTGGTCTAAGCCCCTCGAAGAACTGATATGGCTGCTCTGTGAAAAGTACATCTTCACATACTTGGTTACATGACTACAGACCATGCTTACAGGGCACAAGACCCCATACCCAGGGACTTCCCTAGGTTCTGCCCTTCCTCCACCCCTCAGCTCCAACTCACATCCTGGAAGGTGTGCATGGTGACAATGATCTCATTGGTTAGTGCTGAGCAGTCCTCAATCCCAGTGGCTACAAAGAGAAGGTGAAAATGTGGCTGGTGAGTGAGGAAATGGTCTGGGGTAAGGGTATAAGTCAAGGGACTCTACAGTAAAACTTAAGGAATTGGAAGACATTGGGGCCAGGCACACCGCTCTCTCTGAGAAGATCTGTGTGGCTCCCAGCCTTCCAGAGAAGGCCTGTGCACACTGCTTAAGAGGCTGCAGAGTTTCCAGGCTACAGGCAGGGGACGGAAGAGGAGAGGACCGGAGGGACTCCTGGGCTACCTGCTTTTCTCCGGAAGCAGAAGGAGCGGAAGGGACACTTTCCATGCCAGATGTGGAGATGGGGGACCAGCTGGCAACTGCTGTCATCCACATTCTCCCAACCTGGGAAGCAGGCAGAGAGCTGAGAACCTCAGAGAGTAGGGCCTTGCAGAAATTAGAAGGAGGTTATAGGGAGGCGTGAGAACAGAGCAAAGGATGGAGTATCTCCAGTGGATGGGATCTCCAGCGCCTGGTGGGAGACCCTGAGAGTGGCCTTGCTTCTATCCCACATACTCCCTCCCCACATAGCTTACAAGGCCCTCCCACATCACCTTCTCACCCCCCACCCCACCCCTAGAAGCAGCCATGCACATGTGTCCTAGCCATACTGCATAGTGTGGGCCCCACAGCCAATTCCAACAGCCTTGGTTATAAAGGAAAGAGGGCCCAAGAGAGAAGACTGGGAACCTCCTCCCAATAGCAGCTTCATCCAATGGACAATAAAAGCCTCCCCTTCCCTGCCTGCTCCTTTGGGGTGACCACTTCTTCCCACCTCCCCCCTGGCATCACTCTGTCATGGGGGTGAGTGGCAAAGTGGACAAAGTCTAGGGGCTCCTGGAAACAGTAGCCCAAGCCAAGGGCCATCCTTGAGGCTACTGCTGGCTCACGAGTTGTGGAAAAAACTTGGAGTTGTCCAATTTTCAGCCCAGGGAGAGGCTGTGAGCCCTCTTATGTCGTGGGTGTCCCTATGGTGTGGTTCCCCAGGGCCCTGCCTCCCTTACCCTCTGAGATGTACTTGAGCTTCAGACACTGGTCACCTCTGGCCCCAGTGAAGTCAAAGAGCTGGCAGGGGCCACGCAAGCGGCCACCGTGGGGCTGCTCATTGGTCAGGGCCCATTGCAGGGCACAGGGCGTGTTGTTGAGGAAGTAGACGCGCAGCTGCAGATGGGACTGCCCTGGTGCCAGCGGGGAGCAGAACACGGCCAGCTGTAGCCATTTGCGGGCGGTGTGCCCTGCAGGTGCCTCCAGCACACAGGTGTAGAGGCTGTGGAGGGAGACAGCGGCAGGGACCCGAGCCGGGGAGGCTGAGACTCCGGAGCACCTACCACCAGGCACCTGCCATGCACAAGGCCAGGGGAGCACTCCGGGGAGGAACGGGGGAAGCGGGATAAAGAGAGTGTATTACAGTGACTGGGGACCGATGACCAAGTGGGGAGAAGAACTAGCAGGGGAGAAAGGGAAGGTGGGCTTGGAGTCAGTGTATTTGAGTGGCCTCCCACACACGGCCCTGTGCTAGTCTGGGGGTGGCAAGAGACTGGGAGAGAGAAGACCTGAGATTCTAGAAAGACAAAGAGGTGAAGGACAGAGATGGAATGGAGTCTCAGAGAACTGGAGGGGACAAACTGCCCTAGACAGTTTGGGGACAGTTTGAACAGAGGGACAGGGTAGAGAGAGATAATTTTAGAGACACAGAGGTGGGGAGGAGAATGGGTTGAATCAGACACTCCCAGACAAGCAGAAAGACACAGTGGGATGCACAGGCTTAGACAGGGGGAAGGAGACAAGCTGCCACAGATATCATGGCAGGGAGGCACAGGGGGGATGTGAGATTTGCAGACCATCTTGGACAGATAAGGAGTTCTATACAGAGAGAGGAGGATGAGGCAGACAGAGACACAGGCACAGGAAGACAAGCCAATGGACACATGCCTACCTGAAGTGGGAGAGGTCGATGCGACATTCATCCCGAGAAGTGTGGGCCCCTGGCCGCCCCAGGGGCTTCCAGGCCTTGGCATCGAGCAGGGTAGTATTGCTACTGTAGGTGCGGGCGTGGCTGGGCTGCTGGGCACAGTGTTTGAATGTGAGGGTGCAAGGCTTCAGGAAGGAGGCCCCATGGGGGCCACATGCAACCACAGGGCTGACCAGCCCCTGGGCTCGAGACAGCAACGGGGCATCTGACAGGTCCCACACCAGGACCAAAGACACCCGCTCCTGGCGGCCCACAGCCACAGCACCTGGGAAGAGGGAAATCTGAGATGGGCCTGGCAGGCAGGTACACCCCAGTCCCTGTAGGAGAGGAAGTGGGGCAAGAGCCCAGGAGAAAGGGTGCTCAGCAAGGCACACAGGAGGCAGCATGGAGCTGTGATGAGCTGACTTGTTGTGTAACCCTGAACAAGTCACTCCCCTTTCTTCCAGGGCTGCTGCTAGCCTAGCCTATTCAGGGCTTTGTGTGAATTGGCAAGAGAATTGGCATAGCACATTGATTCATTAGAACAAGGTACTTTCCACCTTCTAGGAAGTTGTCCTAAAAGATATGTAATATGTCCACACCTTTGAAGTCAATAAGGCTATGCTAAAAATATTAAAAGATATACAAAATTATAAAGATGTCTATGAGTGATGAGTCCTCAGATATGGTGCCCCAACAGGAGGTATGAACAACTGTATGCTGAGAAGGAAGCTGTTACCTGGTGGGATGAGCAGGGAGATGCCTGTATCCTGGAGCATCAGGCAACCACCCCGGTGATCCACCTCTCGAGCCGAAAACACCAACAGCTTGTGCATCAGCTGGCGGATGACGGTCTGGCCCTGAGTGGGTGTGTGCAGTTCCTGGTAGAAGGCAGCCAACTCTGGCAGCGTGGCTGGCAGGCCCTGCCTGGGGGCCTCATTTTCTGGTAGGGGGACAGGCTGGGACTCTGGTTCCTGTTGGCCATCTGGCTTCCTGCAGACCCCCAGCCTCCATCTAGGACAGTGCCATCAAAGGCACTGGGCCAGAAAGATGACACTTGCCACTGGGACCCCCACGAACAGTAGGAACTGGGAGAGTTGGAAAGAACTCTCCTGGGGGCACATCTGACTGGTCCCTCGTTGCTGCTGGCTCTCCTGTACCCCTGTGCCAGCCAAAGCCAAAGGCCTGGGGGAAAGAAGGGGTCAGAGCCAGGTTAAGCCTTTGGCTTCCATGTAGCTGCAGTGAGGACTAAGTTGTCTTCATTCTGGCGCACTCTGTACACCCCAGTCACATCAATTCCTTTAACAAAACTTCATGTCTGTGTGTTTGTGTCTCCCTCTCCCCCCACCCCCTTTATTTTACTCAAGAACCTACCAGGACTTTCCATGACCCATGACCTCGTACATAAAGGTAAGCTCCCCTGACGCACAAAGATCTTGGGTTTGGAGTTCAAGGACATGAGTTCAAATGCCACCTTGGTCACTGTGGCTGGGTAAGTTTGTCATATTACTTAAGATACCTTGATTTCCTCAGCTGACAAAATATCCATATTGATCTACATGTGCTCATATAGAGAAATCTGGAAGGGGGAAAACCAAGCCACAGAGAGAGAAACAGCCTTTGATCTCATAATGTGGAAAATGAAACTATATGTAAGTATAGATACATATTTATGGATGCATATATGTAAATGTGAATGTACAGAGAAAGATCTGGAGCAGTGGTGTGCAATAAAAATACAATGCAAGCCACACATGTGATTTTAAACTTCTCTTCTACACCTTGAAGAGTAAGAAAAAAAGGAGAAATTAATAAAACACTTTATTTAACCTAGTATATTCAAAATGTTGCTTCACCAGGTAATCAATAGAAAATCATTGAGATATTTTACATTCTTCTTTCATACTAAGCCTTTGAAATCCATGTATATTTGACACGCATGGCATATCTCACTTGGGACTTACTATATTTCAAGGTCTCAATAGCCACGTGTAGTAGTGAGTCCTGTCTTGGACAGCAGGGGTCTAGAAGCATACACCTCCCCCCAAACTATTCCCATTGGTCACAACTAGAAGACACGACAAATTGAGAGGGTGGAAGGTGTGAACAAGGACTCTGAATGTTCTTAAACTCTTTTTTCTGTACTCTGAATTTTTCATATCAAGCATGTATTTTGTATTAACTTTGTAATTCTTTTTAAAGCTACTAGAAGTTAAAAAAAAAAAAGCCTCTCTGATGGTGAGGATGGCATGGGATCATGCGAATCTATAGATGTTAAACACTGTCCCAATGTGCTTGTTTATGAATGCCCCTCCTTCTGCCAGACAGGCCTGAAGGGAGTTCACAGGCACACACGAAGTACAAGAATAACAAAAGTTACAAATAGAAGCAAAAAGAAAGAAAGAAAAACAAAAGTGGGGGCCTACAGTGAGGTTGGAATGAGACAGGGAAAAAGCATGCCTGTTCACCTGGTTACCCGTGAAGGCCACAGGCTGAGACTCTCCAGCAGCCTCCGCCCCCTCCCACGTCCCCAGCCCCTTTAATTTCCAACACCCCTACACTCTGGCCCGCCGGGGCTCCCCAGCCTAGTTAATTCTAGCCTCTGGCTTTCACTCACACTGCTTTCTGTTTCTCCAGCACTTGTTCTCCCCACCCCCTTCACCTACCCACCTGGAACCCTCCTGTTCAGTAGCGCCTCCCCCTGGCGCACCAGCCTTTGACAGTCTCACTGCTCTGAGGTGAGTCTCACGGCTCTCCACAGCCATCCTACCATACCAAGGAACTCCTGATTATATGCTGTCACGTGTGGTTTTTCCACCCAAATGAACATTTTTCTGAGCACTGGCTGTGCATCAGGCACTGTGGGAAGTTCAATCCTGCCAAAGATGACGTCTTACTCTGCTGTCAAGGAGCTTCTGAGGGGATGGGATTCGTTCGCTCAGCAGCTGCGTTCCATCAGGCACAAAAGTCTCCTTTCAAAGTCCCTGGAGCACCCTCTGTTTGATTCACAAAGCTCCTCGCTATTCCCTTCACTCACAACACCCACCTAGAGCTGAGGCTTTGCTGGTTTCTTCCTTCCTTCCCTGGGACCTGTGAAAACTAAGCCCCCTTCCTAGCTACTCCCAGATGGAGACATGAGGACCTATTTCCTTCATGGCCTCACTGAAAACTGGACAGGAAGGGGAGATTTGGCACTGTTCCCTTTGCCTTAAAATCCACCCTGCAGGCAATGCACTAGGCCTCTTGCAGGGCACACAAGAGCAAGTCAGGTGAGTTGGCAGTGGATGGGGGCGAAGCAGCAAGCCTCCTATAACTCTCAGCCATTCCTTTTGATTCTTCCACATTAGTAATGATGGTAATTCTAACTGTAATAATAATAATAGCTAACATTCACAGAGCTTACTCTGTGCCACTGTGTTAAAGCACTCTACGTGGCTTATCTCACTTGATCCTCACAGCAGCCTTATGAGCTATGTATTATTTTTATCTCTATTTCACGGATAAGGAAGCTGAGTTTTCTCCCCACAGTGAGGATGGATGGGGAATTATTAGAGAAGTGAAGGTAGGAAGAAAAGATGAGCAGGGATGATGAGGACCTCTAGAAACACCCTCTTTCTCTGCCTACCACTTCTTTAATCCCAGGTCTCTTCCTTCCCTCATCTAGAAGAAATGAAGTTGGAGCAGAAAGATACAAAAATAAAGTAAAAAAATTGAAGGAATTAAAGGTTCATCCTCAGTTCCACAGTGATGCCCCTTCCCCCACCTTACCAAGGTACCAGTGGCAGGGGATGGGCCAGCTAAAGTGAAGAAATGAGGGGCCCTACTCTGTTTCTATAGCAACCACCTTCCAAAGACCAGAATCCAAATTCCCTCTACCCCAGTGGGGAGCTACAGTGGCGCCCCCTTTCTCAGTCTTCCAGCCTGGAGTAGTTGGCATGCCCCACTCCCAAAGCCACACTGAGCCTCTTCCGGGAGCCCATTCCTTTACCTGGCCTGAAGCAGGTTAACTCCTCCCCCAGATAAGCCTCAGGTCTCCTAGGCTGTTGCTCTTTCAGGCTTCCCTGGCCCTCATGCTGTCATCTCCCTGGCTGCAAGGGGGGAAAAGTCCCAAGTTTTGCTGAGGGGGATCTATAGCACTGCAGCCATTCAAATGTGGATTGGAGCCTCCCAGACAAGCCTAGACTCCCCATTACACGCTTTTAGGTGTCTTGCCCCAGCTCCTAAGTTATCCTGGGTATCAGTTTGCCTAAAATGAGGGCCCTGTAGAATGCTGTCATCACCTGTCCCTAGACAGTTGCCTCCCTAGCATAAACCTCTGGACTCCCGCTGAGAAGTTATGCCCATACCCTTTAAGGAAATGCTCAATGCTTCTCTGCCCCACTGGTTCTCGCTTTGCCTCTCCAACACCTGCTAGATCTAGAGTTGTTGCAAGACATAAAAAGTACTAAGATGAATGAGTCCAGATGTAAATAATGGAGAGCATTCATTAGCACAGTGTATATTTCCACAGGACATAGAATCTTAACCCTGGTCCCTACACCCATCTGCAGCAGCCCTTCTCCAAATCCCATTTTCCTCCCCCTCCTCCAGCAGAAGGTTCCCACATTCTGGCAGTGGGCTGAGCTGGCCTGGGTCCTCCCAGGCGAGACCCACTCCACCCCCAACTGCCCAGAGGGTGCTCACCTCAACTTCTAGGTGCTCTCACGCTGCTAGCTTGTCTAGTTCTTTCTCGAAGAAACAGAGAGGTTAGCCAGACCCAGTTGCCAGGCCAGCAGACAAATGGAAGAGGGTGGGGAATCTGGGCAGGAGCTGCCTGGCGATTCCTGGCAGAGTCCTGCCTCTCAGCCACCTTAAAGAGGGGTAGGGGAGAGTGTCTCCATCTGTTGGCAAAGTCCACCCATGACAAGGGAGAAGCTGAGGATCCCAGAAGTCAGTGAACTTTCCAGTCTAGGTCTGGAAAGGAGGAGAGAGACAGGGAGACAACCTGGGTGCAGGTGCTGCGCCTTGAAACTCCTCCCTGCCATGCCTCAAAAAAAAAAAAAAAAAGAAAGAAAGAAAGAAAAGAACCCTCCCTACAGTGCCCTCTGCTGGTGAGTGGCTGTCCCCAGCCAGCGGCTATTACTAATTAAAGTGGCAGAAGTTAAGAAGGGAACCTTAACCAGAGATTCTTAAACTATATTGTGCACAAGAAATGACCTGGAGGGTCTTGTTAAAATGCAAGCTCTGAGGCTCGGTGCCTGTGGCTCAAGCGGCTAAGGTGCTAGCCACATACACCTGAGCTGGTGGGTTCGAATCCAGCCTGGGCCCGCCAAACAACAATGACGGCTGCAACCAAAAAATAGCCGGGCGTTGTGGCGGGTGCCTGTGGTTCCAGCTACTTGGGAGGCAGAGGCAGGAGACTCGCTTGAGCCCAGGATTTGGAGGTTGCTGTGAGCTGTGATGCCACAGCACTCTACCCAGGGGGATAGCTTGAGGCTCTGTCTCCAAAAAAAAATGCAGGCTGTGGTTCTGTTGGTCTGGGTAGGGACTGAGATTCTGCAGCTCTAAGAAACTCCCCAGTGATGCCAATGCAGCTGGTCCCGGTATCTAGTTCCACCTTCCTCCTGCACAAAAAAGCCCACTGAGGCCCTGAGAGGTTACCAACTCACATGTTTCTGGTGCCTTTGCCATGTGCCCATATCTGATCCCCACTCTATATCTTTCCACTCCCACTCTCAGAATTGGTAAGGGTACTTCCCTTTGGGGAAGAGCTAAACTTGGGAGCTATATACTCTCCGAGTTCCTAGAAACTCTGCCTAGGAGAGAAACATGGCACCATTGGAAGGAAAGCTCCCTATGGAGAGGGATTTTTTTTCCATCTGTTTTTCTGCTGTCTCCAAAGCTCCTGGTTCAGCCTGATACATAGTAGTGTTCAATAAAGACTTCTTTCTTGAATGGAGGAATGAACCAGCTGAGAAGGAAGAAGATGCATTTTGGATCTATACCACCAGCACGGAACTCAGGTGAGTCACATGTTGTCTGTGTAGTCTGGGACGAGGTATTTAGTCCCTCTGGGCCTTAATTCGCTTGTCTGTCAAATGCAGATAAAAAAATATCACCTTATGGGGGACACTGATTGCTATTACTGAGCTAATAAATGTAAAGTGCCCACCACAGAATAGGTACTAGATAAATGGCAACTGTTATCAGTATGGTGCGGCCTCCTGGAGTGGAGGAACTTTGGTGAACTCCCCCAGTCTCCCCAGTTATCATCTCTAATAGAAAATAAGTAACTTAGTCTTTCATCTCAGTTAATGATTCTCTCAACTTTTGTCCCCAACTGCAACCCCCTCCACTCTGCTTCCTTCCCTGGTGGAGGTGAGAGGGTGAATAAACCTCTCAGAGGAGCCCAGCCCAGCCCAAGTGCTGAGATGTAGCAAAGCAACCAGCAGAGAACAGGCCACATGGAAAGATCATCTCATGCCTAAAAGATCAACAAAGAAGGGGTGCTCAGAACTTCAGTAGGGAATGAAGGGAGTATTTGTCTTTGTTAGACAAAGCTCTGAGTCACACAGGAGGTTGGACTTTGCCAACAGTTGGGGACACTCTCCCCTGCCCATCTCTAGGGCAGCTGGGAGGCGGGACTCTCTGCTGGGAAGCACCAGGCTACTCCTGCCTGATTCCCCACCCACCTCCACTTGTCAGCCTTCCCCTCTGAGTCACAAAGTCCTAGAGGTTTGTGAAAGATCTATCAAGCTAGAGTTCCAAGCCAGGAAGGGTCATGCCAACCAGGAAGCTATAACCAGGGGCTATGTTCGTAGATCATGAACTTACTTGAAAGCTGGTGCTGGCCTCACTTGGGGGACAACCCCAGATTTCTGGAGAAATCTGAGGATCCCTACTCATGGACACAGAGCTAGTTCACAGTATGCTGGGATCACAGGCATCATTAGCATTGTAGCCTGGGCCTGATATGTCATTGGATGCCCCAGTCTCACAGTGTCAGATCCTCAGCATAACCCTTCAAATATTCCATCAAGTGGCACTCTCCAGAGGGCAGGCACCCAGGGCCTGGCAGACTAAAGAGACCCCTGCTGAAAGGAACTTTTTGGGGACATGCAAGCCAGTGTCAATACCCTTGTCACTATCTGAGAAAGGCAGACCAGCTGGCAGCCCAGCTCCACCCTTCTCCCACCACACCTCTCCTGTCACACACGTGTGTGTCCACACATCATGTACCATCAGGCAACAGCCTGGGAGGTGTGCTGTCTAAGGTAAGGGGAGAACAGGATAGGGGACAGGAGGTACTGGGAATGGCTGACAACAGGAAAAGAGAGGATGGAGTGCAGAGGGGTGGAGAAGGAGGCCCTCCAACACAGGACAGAAACAGAAAAACAGGTAGGTAGGCAGAAGGTGAGCAAATGAACAGAGAGGAACAGGGAAAGACACTGGAAATATACACAGGCAGGTATGCTGGTCGGCCCTGTCCCAGGAGCCTCCAGGACAAGTGATCCTGATCCTTGACAGAAAAAGATGGATTAGGCAATCAGTCCAGAACACTAAAAATAATCAGATTCATCCCCCCTTCAAGTCCTATCCATCGTGTGGGGGAGGCTGAACTATCATGAGCAAATCAGAAGAATATTGGGCAGGGGCCTTGGGTGCAGGAGTCTATATAGTCTCATGCAAATGAGCACAACCACGTCTAAATCTAAAATCAGGTAGTCGTTTCCTTGAGAAATCAGGCCACAAGAAATCGGCCATTTGTGTTTCCAACCTAACCCGCTAGAAATGGAGAGGTGTAGGGGTCGCCTCATCCCCTAAGGCAGCAGAGGCAGAAGCAAAGCAAGGCTTCAGAGAAGGCTTCCAGTGTTGGTAGGCTGAGTTTGAACTTGGGCAGATCAGCCTGGGAGGGTCCTTTGAATGCTCCAGTCTGGTATTGTGAGATAAGTGTGAGGGAGATGGGCTGGCCCGTTTGTGACTAGAAAAGAGCCCCAGGTAACTCTGGCTTCTGCCTTTAGAACATGGTCCTTCCCAGTTGGTTACTGGCAGCTTAGGTAAGACACTGTCTTCATGGAGGGCCCGCTCTGTACTTGGCCAGGTGTGGCCCACTTGAGAGGTAAAAGAGGTGGTCACACCTGGGTTTGACCTCCAGGAGTCAGATACATGCAGAGGAGAACATCTACTGAGAAGCAGTTACCAATGCTGGACATATCCTCCAAGTGCCAAATGAGTGGTATGGAGAAAATAAGTGCATGGAAGCCAGAAGGTGGGCAAGGCAGTGTGGCTCAGAGGAAGACTGGATGATGGGCCCCGGGAGGGGGCAGGACCTTAGCCAGGGCATAGCATCAGCTTGGGCAGTGGAGACAGACAAGGAGACATGGGGAAAATACCGAGGGAATGTTCATCATTAGCATGTTCTCTGTCTCCCCAGATTTTGCCTCCTCAAGGTGAATGAGGCTTGAAGGGGCCATCTTTGTGATCCTTCCCCATCTGGGGCCCATCCTGGTCTGGCTGTTCACTCATAATCACAGGTCCAGTTGGTGTGAGGGCCTGAGGATGCTGTCCTGGTGCCCGCCCCACAAAGTCTTATTGGTTATATGGACAACTGTCTACTCTGTTATGGGGTGAGCACTCGTTTCTCACATACGGCCCTGGTACTCACCAAGGTGGGAACAAGACTCCTATGTCCAAGCTGCTGCCATATACTGGCCTCCATTTGTGCCTCTTATAGTGAGCCCCACAGAGATCCTCCGTGCCTGCCTAGGATTCCTGCTAGTCCTTCTTCTACCCTCTCCAAATCTCCCCCTGCCCCACCCCACCCCAGTATACCCCTTTCCCTGGCCCTCAAATGATGCGTAGGCCCACTTGCCCACATTTGAGTCCACAAGGGTAAACGGGAGCCCTCATGCCAGAGGGCCTCTTCTTTGTGCCATGGACCGCCTGCCTGCTGAGTGTTTCTGCCACCATCTCTCTACAGCTATGCCTCCTACCTGGTGTGGAATGACTTGGGAGGGGGCTTTGGGTGGCCCCTGGCCCTGCCTCTCGGCCTCTATGCTGTACAGCTCACCATCAGCTGGACGGTCCTGATTCTCTTTTTCACAGCCCACAACTCTGGTCTGGTAAGGCATGGGGGCTCAGTAGTTGATGTAGTGCAGGTGAAACCACCATACCCCAGAAGCATAATTCAGTAGATCAATCAGGTGCAGGCAAGTAACAGGTGGGCAGACTTCTCTGAGCTCCCACTGTGTGCACAGAGCCCCAGGGACTTAGCTCATTATTGTGCCGGGTGCTGCAGAAAGGAGGAGAGGCCAGTACCCAGGGCAGCCTACTGTAAACCTGCCCCTCTGCCCAGGCCCTGCTGCATCTGCTGCTGTTGTACGGGCTGGTGGTGAGCACAGCACTGACCTGGAACCCCATCAACAAGCTGGCTGCCCTGCTACTGCTGCCCTACCTGGCCTGGCTCACCGTGACCATTGCCATCACCTACCACCTGTGGAGGGACAGTCTCTATCCAGAGCACCGGCCTCATCCCACAGAGAAGAGTGCCTGAGGCCCCAGGGCATAGGAGAGGAGGGGGACAGCCAGGGTGGGGAGAAGAGTCTGTAGGCAGGGCTGTGGGGCTGGGACTCGCTCTCCTTGTACCATTTTCCCTTAGAATTCAGAGAAATGGGATTGGGGTGCACTTAAATAATAAAATCCTATAACTTTGAGGGTATGATGTGAAATGTATGTTTGAGTGTATGATGCTTAGGGTGCAGAGTGGGAACAGAAGCTTCTGTACCTGTGTGTGAGCGTGCACATGAGAATGAACTTGCAAAGGAGCATGTGGGATGCACTGGCTCCACTCCACCCGTCTGCCCTCCCAAGCCAGCCTAAAGATTTAGCAATACAATTTTAATGACCTGTAAGAAAAAATCTCCCTGAAAAGTAACATAAAGTCAAAACAGGAAAGTAAAGTAAAAAAGGATACTAATTTATACATGTTAAGGTTATATATTATTTTTTATCAGATTTATTATAGAATACATAGCAATAACATATAACATGGGGGCTGCACCTGTGGCACCCCATATACCGAGGGTGGCGGGTTCAAATCCAACCCCAGCCAAACTGCAACAACAAAAAAATAACCAGGCTTTGTGGCAGGCACCTGTGGTCCCAGCTACTCGGGAGGCTGAGGCAAGAGAATTGCCTAAGCCAAGAGCTGGAGGTTGCTGTGAGCTGGGATGCCACAGCACTCTACCAAGGGTGACAAAGTGAAACTCTGTCTCAAACAAACAAACAAACAAAAAAAAATATATATATATATAATATAACCATGTTATATGTCAGTCATGCTAAGACCTTGTGTGATTATCTCTAGTAAGATCATAGAGCGTCTTTGGTTTTCTTTTTTTCTTTTTGAGACAGTCTCACTCTGTCACCCTGGATAGAGTGCCATGGTATCATTGCTCACAGCAACCTTAAACTCTTGGGCTCAAGTGATCATCTTGCCTCAGCCTCCCAAGTAGCTGAGATTACAAGTGTGCACCACCACACCCTGCTAGTTTTTCTGATTTTAGTAGAAACGGGGTCTCACTCTTACTCAGGCTGGTCTTGAACTCCTGAGCTCAAGCAATTCACCCACCTCAGCCTCCCAAAGTGCTAGAATTACTGGCATGAGCTACCACACCTTGCTGATTTTTTTTGTTTGTTTTCATGTACTCTTAGGCTTTTAATTGTTTACACCAATTAATTACTATTACAATAAGTAAAAACACTGGGGGAAAAGGATGTAAAATCTCAGGATGCTGACCAGCGAATTCAAAGGAGCTTCTTATCCAGCCTTCTCTGTTGCTTCTTTGTCTAAGTCTTCCAAGTGACTTTTAAATTTTTATCTTTTCTCTCATCTTATTTTCTTCTGTTCTTGTTTCAAAGTCCTGATGGTGGCAAAGACTGATTGTCCCTGGGGATGCCTCTCCAAATCCTAAATATGGCCAGCTGGAGGCCCAAATCCCTTGCAGCAAGGGATCTCCACCTACTGCATGGGGAGGGGGGAAAATCATGGCAAACTGAAAATTACCAATCACTCTAGGGATAAGGCTTGAGCAGCAATATTTTACAACTGCCCCAGGACCTCCTCAGGTGCAGCCAAGGCTGAGATCCACCGCTGAGTGGCGTTTTGTTTTTTTTTTTAAATGCACATTCCTCAGCCCTCATACTATGAATCAGAACGTTTGAAGCCGGCTCCTGGCATCTTTAGATTTCTTTAAAGCTCCACAGCACTTTGTCAGCTGCTCACTAAAGTTTGGGTGCTCTGCACACAGATTATTTCCCAGGGGCCTTTTAGCTTTGACAATTTGTGTTTCTGCAAATTGAGTTTCAGAACGGAAACAAACTCTGTCCTCTCTGGTGCAAAGCCAGGAGGGCAGCATCATTTGAGAAGGGGACTGGCTCTTTCTAGAGCTTATCTCAGGAGAGGGAATTTGCAGCCTCCCCTCCTCCACTAAGGGCATGACCTGCCAGCCCAGCAGGTCACCTGCACCCCAGGAGAGCACACATAGTGTCCTACTAACCTTTGTATCTCCAGCCACAGGGCAGAACAGGGTTCAGAGTAGGTACTCATACATTTTGTTGATTTATTGAATAAATAAATGAACACACTGTCATACTTAAAAAAATATCCTGCTATCACCCCTACTCTGTACCAACTGAAAAAGAAGGGTTTCAATAGTTTTCGAAACTTCTCCTGGTTCTAATGTGCAGCCAGATTGAGAATGGCTGATGTAGGGCTCCTTCTCACAGTGCATCCCAGTGACCTCCGGGTTGAGGTAGACTTCAGCCCTGCTCTAGACAGTGAATCAGATCACTGTAGGGAATGAAGGCAATGAGGTGCAATGGCTGCAGTTCTGGTCCTGGAGTCAAACCAGCTTAGATATTGAGGCTGTCCTTTATGAACTCGTAAATCGGTACAATTTACTTTTACCTATAATAACTAACTGATAGAGGATGGGCTTGGGGAGCCACACTACATGGATTCTTATCCTAGCTCCTCTATCAGTGTGTGACAAAGGAGCACACCAGAAGAATTTGTTATCATTATCATCACCTCATACAGGCATTATAACACAGGAAGGCCATAAAGTTCATGTGCAATTTAAAATCAACCTTGTGATCATCCCCCCTAGGCAACAGCAACGGTGGCAGGAATGGGCCAAAGTGGTGCCTCATGGTCTGCCTGCCTGGTGGGGTTGGCAAGCTGAGCCCCCGGGTTCTGGTGATATCGGAGTTTCTTGGTCTCGTAGAGGGACCACAGGATCAGTGGTAAGTCAGGATTTATTCAAAGAAACAAAAATTACAACAACTACAAAAAATCAAACCTCCTGACAGAGAGAACCCAGGATGGGAACAACCTCTCCTGCTCCCTCTTTGAGGACTGTCCTTGGGCTCTCTGCTCAGGGGGTTATATAGTGGCAGGAGGTTGTTTTGCCCAGAACTCAATGTTGACTTTTAGGTGGTGGGTCTTCTCAGTTACAGCCAGTTGTCCAGTGAACTCTCAGGCCTTGGAAACTTACATGAAATTCACCAGTCAGAAGTGTAGGTGGACAAGACAGCAAGGGTCATCCATGAAATTGACCAGTCAGAAGTCCTTGGGAGGAGACAGCAAGTCTTCAGTGTCTCCCCAGTAGGTGTCCGGCCCTTCCATCAAGCTGGTTCCTCTGGCAGCAGCAGCATCAACACTCCAGGTTTAAGGCGGCAGGTTGTGGCGCCACTTTGTCCTGCATCACTGGGCCTAACTGAGCGGAGGAGGAAGTCCCTAGGGGAGACTAGAGGGAAGCCCTAAGGTGACTGGCGGCTGGAGGGTTCATACGGTTCTGGGGGGAGGTACACCTCAGAAGAGCAGCTTAGGGAGAGGATAGGAAGCAGTGTTTAGCGGCTTTTGGGGGGTGAAAGCGGGCAGCTGCCTCACCCCCACCTCACCCCAGTCCTCTCTCCAAGTCCTAAACCCTTCCCAGAGGCACCAGGTCAGAGTTCATGGTAGTTCCCGCCCAATTTGATACCCCTTTGGGGAAGAGAACTCAGATTAATCTGTAGTGGGAATGGTGGAATGAGGCTGAGACCAGAGGGTGTGGAGGCAGGTTATGAAGCGAATCCACTCTCCTTCCCACCCTACACCCACACCTCCCGTTCACCCCTGGCCCCTGTTTGTTTTACTCTTTCGGAGTCCGCTGGCCAAGAGGTGACTTACCTAAGCTCTCCAGTTGCTGCCTGCCCTTTCAGCTGCAGGCAGGGAAGTTGCCTTGTCCTAGTTGGTCCTCTGACTTTTCCAGCTCTTCCTGGAGCCTGTTTGTCCTGTATTCCACTCTATGGGAAATTAGTACAAGGTCAAGCTCTATATGGGTGGGAAGGGGCACTTATAGGGCTAGAATGGAGCACCAGTGATCGTTTTAGGGGCTTATAAATTGTTTGAATGTAGAATGAAACCTTATAGAGACTAGTTGGTGTAAGCCAAAATCTCCATTTTCTATAATACACGTTGGTTCTTCTTCGTTTTGGAGCATATAATTTGCAGTTTGTGTTAAAGGAAAATTTGAAAGAGGGAAAGGACAGGGTTTTAATAAAAATATCTTTTTATCTTTTTATTTATCCACATAAATAAATAAAATCAACCTTGTATTTGCTACCAATTTATTCATGTTACCAGCTAAATCTAGAAGAACAGAACCTCCAAAAAGGTGTATCATTCCTATGGTCTGACTTCAACCGCCCTGTAAAGCTAAAGCCACTAGGTGCCTTTACCTTAGAACTTGGCTAAGAAGAAAGCTTAATTTGGCTGGTATGACTGCCTGATATGATATGAGCCAAACTAAAGAGTTTTTTGGCCTTGATCAGAATCTCAGCTTGAAAGGGAGCAGTCCCAAACTCAAATTTGTACCTTCTGATCCTAAAGTTGTCCTTAAAACCTCCTTTGCACAAGCTCCTTGGTTCCTGGGCAAGGGGAAACTCTGAGCCCCATATCTCCCAACCTGCCTGAGCCACTTGTCTTTCCCCTACCCCATTTCCCAGTTCTGGGCCTGGCCTGGGGCACAGCCCACCTTCAGCTCCTCCTTTTGTTACCCAGAGTTGTACCTAAGTACAGGTAGAGATGAATTCTAGGATTCCACTATCCAAATCATGTGTGTATGCTTTTTTGTGCTGAGGTGGTATCTTTCCATGTGCCTCTAAGGGGGTACTCGGCGTCTGAATTTGATTCACTCACAGACTCTTCACAGACCAGAGCAGATCTACCATCCAGTGGCTGGTGAGAGAGAAGGAAAAGAGCAAACCTAGGGGGTAGTGTGTCCCATTCTATTGTATCCTAGCCCCTTCTTCCCTCCCCTGCACCTTCTCTCTTCCTCACATTGCCAATTTCTGCAGAATGGAAGCAGAGAGGGGCAAGGTGAGGTGGGAGACTGGTATGTGTATGTCCAGAGGACAAAGTTTAGCCAGCTGCCTGGGAAGGGAAGGAAGGGAGCAGAGTGCACAACGTGTTTTGCTGAGCATCTTCGGCCCCTCCTACCCACAGGCAGGTAGAGCTGATGCAGAGGGGAGACCTAGAGACCTGAGTATTGTCAGGCTGGAGCCAGAGCTCCAAAGTCTCTTTGC